TGCCAAAATTGCCAGAGCTAGAATTCACATAGAAAGAACCTATCAAAGAATAAAAGTGTTTGTCTCTCTGTATTGGTACTTATGTCCGTTTTTCTTCTATTTATATTGAGTTTTTATTATACGATACTTCTCTGTATCTAACTAACTTTTAAAATGTACTTGTAAAGCCCAGATAGCTCTAACTCGAGCCTTTGAATATAATAATATTTATGTAATTGTATTTACAATAAATACTTTATTATTATTATAATTAATTATAATTCATAAAATTATTATAAACGTAGATATTTACCTTGTACCTACTTGTATTGATACTTGCGTGAAAAATAAAATGTTACTTTTTATATTTCTGTAGCTGGTCTTACAACCCTTTATAGAGCAATTCACAATTTAAATTTAAAAACAGAACAAGTTTTTATACTCAAATAATTAAAAAACTTAAAACAGAACATAAATATAATTAAAACTAAATAAAATAAACAATTCAACAAAATGTCCGACTGAGTAATGACAATGAGAACAAAATCTCAACTAGACTAAACTTTCTTTAAAACCGATCCTGTGAAAGGTTTGTTTACCAGTGAGCACTCAAAATTGAGACAAAACACAAACATTGCATGCACTAGACAAAGAGAAAACATCTCCCAGTTCGACTCGCTTTTCACCGTTTTATTTACGTATGGATAAGCAGTCTATTTAAACTATATATGTCATTGGTGTAACCCCGCTATACGCCTGTTGATTCGTGCTGAATGTGACAGTTGTGCAAAATACTAGTGAAAGAAATAGAACTAATTAAAAATTTATTTGTTTAGCGTGATCATATAAAGGTAAGTGATTTTATATTAAGTTTCTTTTGTATATAAAATAATTTAGTGTAATTTAAACATGAATAATAATTATTTCTTTTTCGTATGGAGATACACTTTTTTGCATTTATATATTTTTATGGATATACACATTTTTCCTGAGATATTTTTTAAATATTTATAAGGAACATTTATTGGTAAATATTTGGTTGAAGTTTTTTGTTTTAGATTTTTTATCATGTCACGTGGATTGAAGATGCTCACAATGTTAAATCTGAAATGGCCAGCCCAAACGGATGAACTATCAGAATCGTCAGTTCTAAATACCGAGGCAGAAGATACATTAAATGAAGCACTTAATAATGAAATACTGTTTGCATTGGATCATTCTAATATTTCAAATATGGAAGAAATAACACAAGTTTTATTGAAAATTACAATATTCTGTTAAACTTTTCCGTTATATTACAACCAGATCTACTTAAAGAAGGACCCTCTGACAGCGCCTGCCTCATTCTAAAAAGCGCAGCCGAGACTAATTTTGAACACAATACAATAAGCGCAGTCCAAGAAAAGATGGAAATCGAAAGTAATGTTTTAAGTGATATTTCTGCAATTCAAAACAATACTTCTGGTTCTGAAAATCAAGAGCTTACTCAAAATGAGATGGGGGAAAACAGCGATACAGACTACCACCCTTTAGTTCAATCGGATGATACGTGAAAATGAAAGTACTGAAGAAATAGAAGAGGAAATTATAGTCCATGGTCCGGATAATTCCAGTGATGAAGGTGGGAAGAAAAATCAAGAGAAAGAAGAGAAATCCAGACAAAATGGAAGAAAAAAAAAAGAAAGCTGAACATTGCAAGAAGGGACGTGACTTACCAAGAAAATAAGAGGAAAAGAGAATTGGGATTACCATATAAAGGCAAAAAAAGTGTGATGGAAATTGAGACTACAAAATAGCTAAACAGGGAACATTTTTGAAAAAAACGAAGTAACTGTAAATTATCTAAAAGTGGTAATTCGCTACAATGCCAAAATTTTGGAAAAAATAATGGTCTGAGAAACGTGAAGATGTTAAGAGTCTTGCTATATTAAAAACTGCAACCAGACGAAGAGGTGCAAACGAAAACTCCCGTCGAAATTATTCTATAATATATTATCTCAAACAAGACCTTGTGGGATTTCGGGTATGCAAAAAAATGTTTAATGCCACCTTCGGACTAAAGTATAATTGCGTTTTAAACTGGATTAAGCCAAGTAATTCCCCTGAGGTAGATCGTGAGGATATTATGACTAGAAAACAGGAAAAATACCAGGAAAATTGTTTTTTGAATTACTTCCAAAAATGGAATCACATTATTGTCGTTCTTCTACACAAAAACACTATTTGGAACCTATTTAGCAAACTATGCAAGAACTGTTTTGCTTTTATGTGAATGATTATTGCAAGGAACAAAACGTAAAGCCTTATTCCCGTACAGTTTTTAACGAAACGTTTCATGGGATGAATCTTTCTTTATTCCATCCCAAAAAAGATAAATGCGATACATGCGTAGCTTACAAGACTCAAAATGTAACAGAAGAAAAATATCAGCAACACCTGACATTGAAGCAAGAGTCTATTAAACGAAATTGGCGGTACACAACTTCACAGTTTATAACATAAAAAGTCATGAAGAGTACTGCTATCTATGGAGTGAAGTCGAAGGATCTCTGACTGATTGACGAATTTTCGTCAATTTTAGTAGAGTTTATTGAAAAACATGTCCTTACCAAAGATGAATGATAGCAACAGAACAATAATATTTTGGAGTGATGGCTGTACTGGATAAAATCGAAATGCATGTTTGTCTAATGCTCTACTAAATACATCAAGGCAATATAATATAACTATATTTCAAAAATATCTCTTTAACCTTCCGTTAGTCGCGTGTATCTGGTAGGGTACATGAAGTGCTTTTATTTCCCCCTATACTCCCACCATTCCAGTAGCTTCCTCGCTTACGGGCATCTTTCGAATAGTGCACGAATCGGCTTGGTACGTATAAGTGGTTTTGAAATATTGGCGTTTTGTATCTCACAGATACACGCGACTCTTGCGGTAAGTTTTATAAATATGTTTTTTCTTTGCATACTTTTACTAGTTTTAAAGGTAAATTGAATAGTTATTTCCTGTGTGAAATTACATTCTTCAATTGCATTGGCTGATAATAAAAAATATGATATGTATCTAGGAGACACATGCGACCATTAACGTAACTTTTATTGTTTTTAGGCAATAAAATGGAATTTCGACGTGTATGATTTGAACAATGAAAAGCACTGTGAGGAGCTGATAAATCTATTATTACAACAGGAAAGTGATGATGAAGATGAAAGAGTAGATATAGAAGACAAAAACAGTGATACAGATGCGTCTGTTTGTTTTGAGGACCGGGAAGAAAATTCTGAGAGCGAACAAAGTGATTATTGTGCGTGAAGAAGACGAAGAAGAAAATGCAGTACATTTTATTGCTGTTCAAAAGAAAAATAATGTTGTAGTAAATGAGTAGAAATGGCAAAAGCTTCCCTTTTCTCAAAATATTCTTATGTACCTACCTGGGGTAATTGAAGCCGCTAAACATGCTAATGGGATATACGAAATTGGAACTTATTGATTGACGATACAATGCTGCGGGAGATTGTTGAATGTACTAATAGATACATTTAAAGTATTCAAATACAATTTACTCGACCTAGAGATGCTAAAATAACCAATATTTCTGAAATGAAGGCAGTTATTGGCTTGTTATATTAAGCTGGCGTTTACTATGCCAATCGACTAAGTTTAGATGAACTATGGCCAGAGGATAGTGTACAGAAGTTTAGCAAGACCATGAGCTTGAGAAGATTTCGTTTCATAATGCGCTGTTTGAGGTTTGATGACAGGGAAACGAGAGACGAGAGAAAAAAATGACCGCTTGGCAGCAATAAGGAATATTTTCGAAGCATTTGTGACAAATTGCCAAAAATCATACTCTTGGGGCCAAAACGTGACTATTGATGAGAAATTAGAAGCTTTTAGAGGACGCTGTGCTTTTCGCCAGTATATACCTTCTAAGCCGGCTAAATATGGCATAAAAATATTTGTCTTTGTAGACGCAAAACTATCTTATACCTACAATATGGAGATATATGCTGGACAACAACCAGAAGGACCATATGGCATAAGCAATAAACCAGTTGATATGGTCAAGAGACTTGTTACTCCTATTCATAATTCTGGTCGTAACGTCACGATTGACAACTGGTTCACAAGCTGTGATTTAGTAGAAAAGAAACTCTCTCTTGTAGGCACTCTGAAGAAAAATAAGCCACAAATACCTAGTGCATTCAAAGATATCAAAGATATCTAGTTTGTTTGGGTTTCAGAAAAATTGTACTTTAGTCTCGTATGTACCAAAATCGAACAAAAATGTTATTTTATTATCAAGTAAAATAGACTTATCAACAAATGAACTACAGAAACCGAAGATCATAACATTTTATAACGGAACTAAAGGTGGAGTAGACACTGTGGACAGAATGTGTGCAAGCTATAACGTTACCCGGAACACAAAACGCTGGCCGATGGTAGTGTTTTTTTCTATGCTAAACACTGCTGGAATTAATTCACAAATACTTTTTGTTGGAAACCAAAACAAAGTGAAAAGTAGAAAAAGTTTTTTACATGATCTGGCTAAGCAGTTAACCGAACCTGAGATCCAAAGACGACAAGTGACAAACGTAGAAGTTCTGCCGGATGCCGATCCTGAAAATATCCCTGCTCCTGTGCTACACGAAAATGAGGATGTACCCAGAAAAAGAAAAAGATGTAGTCCGTGCTATTCACAAACAAAAAAATCCCGTCTCACAAAATTTTTCTGTGTAAAATGTTCAAAACCTTTGTGCTTTGATCACTGTAAAAGTATTTGTAAAGATTGTGTTCCTGGGCAAATAATGTAAATATTTATGAATAATTTGATTAATTTATAATTATGTCTATTCTTTTTTGTTTTGTAGAGTAAAAATGTTCAAATAAAGCAGTTTTCTAATTTTTTGTATTATTTCAAACCCTAAAAATGATAATGTATCTATCAGATACATGCGTGACCAATCCTGAAAGCTTTTTGACACGACTAGCGGAAGGTTAAGGACCACACACAAATGGAAGCCGACTCCGTGCACTCCACGATAGAAAAACGAATTCGAAATAAAGACATTAATATACCAGCAGATTATGTGACACACTGTGAAAATGCTAGGCTGAAGCCATTTCCTTACAAGGTGTTTTATTTAGATCATTCTTTCTTTAAAGATTTTCCAGAAATAAAACATTATACTTCTATTAGACCTGGCCGCAAAGTGGGAGATCCTACAGTCACGAACTTAAAACAACTGAAATATGAAGAAGGGGTAATAAGATATAAATTAAGGCATACTGATAATACTTGGCAGAGGAATACAGTCAAAGAATAATAGGGCAGAAAAAGCAATACTTGAATAGTACCCTATTATCAGTATTATATATAGAGAGAAGAAAAATTAAAAAAGAAAAGTTCGAGCATTTACAATCTCTAAAAAAGAGCCTTAAAGCAGATTATCACTACTTTTACGATAAGTTTTCTTTTCAATAAAATATTATTACGTTTCGATTAATTACGCAGTCTTTCCTAATTTAACTATATATGTATATCCAAAAAAAATCAAAAATAAAAATGAAATAAGTGTATCTCCAGAAAAAAAATGGCAAAAAGTCAAAATAGTAATAAATAATTTCTAATAGTTGGAATTGACCAACTGCATTTTTGTAAACTTTAAAAAAATATTTGCGGGGCCTTTTTTAAAACTTATTCAGTTTTATTGCTCTCCTGTACAATTTTGAATTTTTTTTGGTTTCACCGACGATATCAAAAATGTCCCTAATTTTTTCGATCTCAAATGACAATTTGATTGTACAAGATTGATTTTAGAGAAAAAGACTACATTTTCAAGCAGTCTAAATGGCCATGATAATTTGAGGTCTGTTTCAACAACTATCAGAAACCAGTCATTAACACCAGGATTCTACACAGTTGATTATTTCGACCACCTAATTATATATTGCGCAGAATCCTGATGTCAGGGACCGGTTTCTGATCGTTGTTGATGTGTTTATGACAAGCACACCAAGATGCCTTCTGTTGCTACTTGCGTTGTATCTTTTTCATCATATTCTTGTTTATTTTATTCGTTGGGACATTTACTTCCTCCAAAAATCCTTCTTAGACATTATCTTAGTTATCTATGGTTTATTTTCCATAATTTGCACCTGTAGTGAAAGCTCTAGAATTGAATTTTTCCATCTTATTTAAAAATTATAGTTCCTTTTATCATCTACTGTTAATTCAAAAGTACTAATTTGGACTAATCTTTGATCTTCTCACAATATCATGTTTTGTTTTTAGTTATAATTTAACAAAGTAAAATGTGGTAGACGTTTTAAATATTTGTTGTAAACGTTTAGGTATTGATGCCCATTGTTTTTGTTTTCATTGTTTTTTATCTTCCGATACTGTTCACTTTCAAATGTTTATTAATGAAAATGATCTGGTTTCGTTAAAACTATTTTTGGTTCATTTTTCTTGTCCTGTTAAATGATAAAGTATAGTAAATACAATAATAATATTTAGACTTTCCAATCATGAAATATATGCAAGATCTTTAACTAAAATATAAAAGTCTCTTGCATAGTTTCAAATCCCAAAATGTGTTAGACCCTGCGTTTTTACTTCATTTTTCACTTTGAAGTATTGAAATCTATTCTTCTATGTAAATATTTTATTTTTTATAAGTTTGGTCGAAAGTAATTTTTTTTTCACTCGTTGTAACGTTACTAAAATTCATAATATATGTATAATCTGGTACATATTAACCTTATTTTGTAATAATTATAAGTCCTTGTATTTACAAAAAAACTTTAACTACTCTTCACTTTCCCGTTGAGACCGTTCGCTTCGTTTAACGATGAAAGATCGTTCACGTTTTCCGACATCACCTTGTATGTCTTTTCTATCAGATTTGGAATGTCCTCTGTGCTGCAACCCTCAGTGGATATCGTAGGAAGGATTCTGATTTTCACGAAACCTAAATGAAGAAAAACAAAATTTTTATCAAAAAATTTGTTTAGATAATAAAATTATTAGGTACATTATATGCAGTTTTAGTTTCTTTAAAATTACCTGAATCAAATCTGAATTTTCCCAAAAACGAATACCTTGAAACCGCGACTGGTTGGATGGGAACCTTGGAAGCAACTGCTAAATGGAATGCTCCTTTTTTGAAAGGCAATAATTCCTTTTTGAGGCTTCTAGTACCTTCCGGGAACATCAATACGCGTGCCTAGAACAAAATTAGTCAAGTTTAATTTCTATTATGTTCTCGAACTCTAGTTTTCAGTTACTGTATGGTATTTCCAATATTTGAGGTAAACAGCAAAATAAGCAAGGAAAAAATACTTATATTTAACTAAATAGTAATATTTAGGTACCTAGTCATTTATATTGTTGGATAATAATAATTTTGTCCACGACCACTTAATAATAAATCAATATTCTACCTCCTAAGAGCATATGGTACCCATATATCACTAGAGTGAATTATGATAATTCACGCTTTTATAATTCTGGCACATTCCGGTAGGTGACCAGAGATGGTCGATACTTTTCATAACGATATTTTCTAGAGTGTACTTCAAATTTTGTGATTTATCACATGAGTTATCACATGATTTTGTCATAAATATTTTAGTCATATGTAGAATTAAAATCATATCATTTTCATGTGATAAAATCATATGATAAATCACATAATCTGAAGTTTACTTAATATTGATTTTAAATATTATATCGATATAGTGAATTGATACTTTACACAGTTTTACCTGTCACGAATTATTTGACTTTGACGTACCTACTTCTGTCCTGAAATTTATTGATTTTGAATTTGAAGCATTCCTTTGTTAAACAACAACAGTTAGTTACCTATGTTTAATAAAAACTTGCGCCCCTCGTCTACGGCTCGGGACGCAAACGTCACCCTGCCTGAATAATGGCTACCATAAATTGCTCGTTTAATAATATACTATTATTTATTTATTTAATTATTCTTATATAATTGAAATATCAATATCGATAGCGAATTAAAATGAAAACACCCACTAAAGAGATATCCGAGCGTAGGCAATATTTTAATTTTAACATTATTTAAATATAACTAAAACATAAAAGAATATTTAGAGATATAGGTAACATATTTTAAGAATATTTTTTATAAGATTTTTTTTTGTTTACAACAAGCAATATTTCATTTCAAAGATTATTCTAGTTTCATGATTAGTATTCTTAAAATCCAATGACTAACTTTTTTTGAAAAGGTTATAGGAGTTGGGGTTGACTTTCTATATTTATGAATTGACTGTTTTGAACTTTGAAAAACCGCGCCACTGTAAAACCCTGTATACAATAACTATTCAAGTAGTGGTGTAGTAAGATTGTTTGTAAATGTATATAAGTCTGTTCCAACAACGATCACAAACCAGTTACTGACACCAGGACTCTGCGCAGTAGATAAGTTGGCGATCCCAATAATCTATTGCGCAGAATCCTAGTGTCAGTGACTGATTTCTGATCGTTGTTGGAACAGACCTTATACCTGTATTTAATTTGTTTTTTTGACTTACTTGTCTCTTTCTGATGATTTCGCCTGTCTTATTGACAGCTGACTGCGCATCTTTGGCGTTTACTCTATTAATGAAAATGGTACCCCACAACCAGGATGCCAATCCAAAGGGTTGAATGTAGAAAATTTCTTTTTTTGATATCACAGTTGAGTTTGGCATTATTGGCCAGAGGTATGCCAGGACTAAAAATTAAAAGTTATATAGGTATACTTATAATGAAATATGTGATTGACAAAAGAAAGGTTTTTAAGTAAGCCTTGAACTAATTCTTCTTCTTTTTAAGTATCAGTTATAACGGACATGACTCGTATCTCTATTTTATAAAAATAACAAAAAATTATAGTACAGGAAAATTGATATTGCCTAATCCATGGGTCGTTAATTGCCACTGGTAATGATAGGAAATAGGAATGGGTAAAAAAACTCACTTATTAAATCTATCGCACTTTGGTGATTGATTAAAACTACGCATCCACTGTCTTTTACAATATTTTCAGTGCCTTCTACTGAATATTCCAGACCCAAGATTTTTCGGCTAGCTCTAAGTAAAAAACTTGGTATTCTAAAACAAAAAATATAGTAGGTTTGATTAGTACATATATCAGTTGTCATTTTGATTTTAGTATAATTTGTACCTAATTAGTTTCATAAAAGTTTGAAATCTATACTATTATAGTTTATAGTAGATGTTCTTAGAGAACGTTGGACTACCCTTAGTCGCCATGTTATAAAATGAGTTCACAAACGTCAATTGCGATTGAGTGTCGCAGATCTTTAGTTTGAATATACAATTGCAGTGGTGGCAACTTTTGTATTTATTTGGCATTTAAACCATTTAAAAAGAAATGTTTTATAGCCGTACGAAACTGGTTTTATGCTTGATTAAGAAAATGCACGAATATCGTTAAAAATGGAGTATGTTTATGCAAAATCTGAAAATTTCACAGCAATACGAACAATGGCGCTTTAAAAAAAAATAACAGCACCAGCACGCGCGCGTAGCGCTATCTTCTGGTTAATTCTAGAAAAATTCCTAATATATCCTCTTATTTTGTATAAATTTCTTTAATTTTTAATTGCCTTACGTATCTAAGATTCGATCAGGGCCGACGAGAGGGGGGTAGCCGGGACAAATTCTCGGGGCCCGGGCACAAGCAGGGGCCGGCAGCGGCATATGGGAGGCCCGGCAGTTTTATGTGAGGACGTTTTATTGTTGTAGAAATAAAATTGTCGCGGGGCTCCATCTAGAAAATTATCGCGGGGCCCCACCTGACTTTCGGCGGCTCTGGGTTCGATAGCCAAAAACAATCAGCACGTTGTTAGTCAGAAATTAAAAGATGAATTAACCGTCAGCCATAACCTAATGATCGCAAAGACAGGCGAGACCTTATAAAACAGAGGTAACCGATACTGTTGCGAGTGGCGGCCAATCCGCCAAACTTGGGAAAATTTATTGCTGATCCAATGACTGCGTTCCCAGATAAAGAAACACCTGGGGCACGAGCATTTAAAGTCGCCACGCCACGAAGCCATAATTGTGATTTTTTATGTGATTATGAGAATCAGAAATTTCGTAGTATACACAGATTGTATGAAAATTTTCTTTGGAACAAGATTCTAAGTTAGTCCACGCGGAAGAACGTGTCTAGCTGCAATCTACCGCAATCTGATCGAATACTAAGCGAATTTGATGCAAGGAAGATTGTAAAAGGGCCCTTAGAAGTTGAAGGACCGTCTACAAGGAAATACCAGTTGTGAGCAAGACGAGATATAGACCATGAAGGACATAAAAAAGAAATTTAAGGGATCATGTTTCAGTTGAGGTCGTCAATGACACCGACAAAACATTCCGGATTCCTTAAAAATTCCACCTTGTAATCACTGCAAGAAAATTGGCCACAACAAAAGTATCTGTTGCATGGCATAAAAACGGTAAACCCAAAAAAACAATATTGCTTAAAAAATGACGCCATTCAAACACAACACCAATGACGACATTATTGTGAAGAAACAGTGTTTCTTATTTTTCTTAACGTTAATAGTGGCACTGAAAAATAAATTATAAAATACTATGTAGCAAAAACATTAAACGCGACTATCAAAACAGACGGTAAGGTCCGTGCTTTTTCGGGATTCGAAACTCAAATTGTTTGCTCTATCGGTATTTGTTATCTGGTAAGTGCTACGCATGCCGAAGAAGTTGACTTTAGACTTTTATTGTTATGTTATTCCAGGCAACATTGACCTTATTTTTGGATGAGATGTTATTCGTAGACTTTATTTACGAATTAATAAAAAACTATTATGGACTCGAGTTACACCATAACCTACTCAATATTTCTAATATATTGATTTAAAAAGTGTAAATATTGTGATAAATCATATTACCACCGGTGAAATGACCCTAAACTTAAAGGACACTCCAGTAGCATATCATGCTCGTAGGTTGGCATACCATGAAAGATTGCAAGTAAAAAAATATTTAATGAACTTTAAATTGCGAGCATAATTCATGTAAGCCGATCGGAATATGCAAGCTCTATAGTGTTTGTATATATAAAAAAAATGGTGAGGTTCGAATGTGTGCGAATCTCCGTAATGTTAACAAGAAGGTAGTTAAAGGAAGATACCCATTGCCTTATAATCAAAATCAGATCAATTCTCTCTGCCATGTAAAATACTTTACTTATGAAGTCTGAATTTTATCAAATGCAAATTATAGAAAGATTAAGGCACATCATGGTTTTTGTTACGCCAGATGGACATTATGAGTTTAATTACAAAACCTGGAGGAAGTACTTAACGCGCTATCCACACACGGGTTTGCTTTGAACTATGAAAAATGTACATTATTAGTGTTGTTTTAAGTGCAGTATCAGAGCGACCCAGTCAGCGTAAAATAAATGCATTGGCTGAAGGGCCTATTCCGACAGATGTTAGAAGTGTACGGCAGTAGGACTTGCTAGCTATTTTCGACGGTTCATTAAATGATTCTAGAGTTAGCTGCACCAATAAAGTTTTTTTTTACGAAAAAGAAAATAAATGGACTATCGTACTTCCTGCTATAGAAGATAACAAATTCTACAATTCATTCAATAACGGTTCACGCACCTAAAGTGTTGAATCATGGCACAAATCCAAGATTATTGGCTACTCGACAATTTTTGGGTGATGTGCCGCCAACCGATAACTTTGTCGATCCAGACAAGGCCGTAGCCGAGGCTCAAGGCTCAAGTACCTTTGGAAGAAAGCTCCAAAAAGTGGGTTCAGTACTATAATGAATCGCGTAGCCCAGCAAATTTGTTTATTGTTGGGGACCTTGTGGCTATAGAAGATTCTCAGCTGGCCATTTTACTGTTCGTGCAGTACTACCCGTTCTCTGAATACTACTAGTGATGGGAAAAAGCGTTATTTTCATTTAACAGTTCCAACTGTTACTGTTATTTTTAAATAACAGCTTAAAATAACAGGTTGTCGTTATTTTTAACATCTAGTGGTTGAACTAGATGAAATAACAATCTGACTACTCGACCATTTCTCAATGTCAGTAGACTTGGAATAGTCCAGAGTCCCAGCGCCAGAATGTCCAGAAACTTAAACGCATGCGACACTGAACCAGCACTAGTAGGCTTGATCTGGTTTCTTCAAAATGTATTGCAAACATCTGAGATCCAGTGGAACAGTTGAATATCAAATTGTGCGTCGTGTAAAACTTTTCAACTTTCCACTGGTCATTTAGATACTCGGACAGTTTTCAACATATTTCTGAACCAGAACATACCTAGTAAATAATATCAAAATAAGGATTGCTAGTAGCGTTATTAAAATAACGCTTGTAATGCCTGTTATTGTAAATTTAGCGGCGCGATCGACTGCAATGAATGCCATCGACACGTTCTTGTTAAGTCGAATTTCGCGAGGAAGCAATCACCAACAGTTTTGTGTTGTGACATTATTTTGCACTTGTTATTTTTGAACTAGATTAACAGTTGTAACCATTGTGTTTCAAATAACAGCTTAAAAATAACAGATAGTTAAATAACAACACGTCACTAAGTACTACCCATTGACAGATATGCGCTACATAAGCAAGGACGGCGGACCACTGTTGCCGATCATGAAAAATTACGTCCATGGCCTTCCAATAAATAACAAAGTGAGTAGGTAACGTATTTGTTACCTTTTTTCTTATGATTAATTGAAGTTATTACATATTGAAAGTGAAAAAATTTTACTTTAACGATTAATCAAAAATTTGATTGAAAAGTAAAAACTATTCAAATAAAAAAATTAAATTAAAAAATATAATTATATGAACAGAATGGATATATCATTCCTAATAAAAGGTCAAAACAGCTTTTTCAATGGTTTAATTCACGATCAAGTATTCTCAATTACAATGTTGCTGTGGTATTGCCACTGTCTATTCGCGTACTGCCCACTGCGCTGGTTTGCCTCAGGGTTGCCAACTTTTCAAATTCCATTTACCGTACCGCGCAATTCGAATTACCGTACATGGCCTCCCAGTACCAAACACTTTTATTTTATAAAAAAAGTATCCTCCTACCTAGCTTCTAAAAAAAGGCATCAACTTATATGTTTGTACAAACCAGGTCCTTTTTGGCATTTTTACATTAGACAATGGAATCGGACCTTTTCACAACTCAAAGCCTTTGCTAATTCTGTTCAAAATACCGTACATTTGCCGTAGTTTCTATATAAATACCGTACTTTTATGTACAATAATTACCGTACGATTGGCAAGCCTGGTTTGCCTTCTCCCGCTCGTCCATACTGACACGCATGTGTATGAACTTCAAGAATGTGTGGTGGGGAACAGAGGCACACCACTAACAATAATTATATAGTTGTAATTAGTGATAACAAATTTAATATTATTTTACGAACACTCGGTTTTTACGAAATATTTGTTTTCCAAAACAGTCACAGCCTATGTTTTTGACCAAACCTTCAAACTGACTTTTTTTTAACAACCTTTTTTTTTATCTAGAAACCATTTTTTCTATCTCCTAGTCTGCTTCACTTAAGAGTTTTATCAATTTTAATATACAGGGTTATCAATAATTTTTATTTATTACTATATATTATTATCATTCTTATTATTAGTATGGTTATTATTAGTTTTATTATTATTTTAGAATATTGGGTGTTTACATAACATATCAATATATATTTATATATATATATATATATATATATATATATATATATATATATATATATATATATATATATATATATATATATATATATATACATATAAATTAAAATTGTTTGAAATACAATTAAAACTTAAGTTTTTTTTTTGTAACACGGTTATAAGTTAAAATTTAAAAATATATAAAATTAAAATATAGCAAGATAAAATATATTTTTTTATGCTTAGTTTTCTTTTTTTTTACCTTTTGAAACTTTTCTACAATTTACCTTTTTTTTGTTTTTTGCTTAATACTTTTCCCTTTATTTATTTAGTCAAGAAGTTTATGAATATCAATTCTGGGTAATTTTAATATTAATTGTTTAAATAATTTCTTAAAATTT